AAATAAACATGAATAGAAATATGAGAGTGATTACCTTTTGTAACGTCGAAACAATCTATGTAGAAAGGAACCATCTAAGCATTTGATCTCTACCGATTATCCACGCGACTCAAATAACCACATAAGAAGCTAAAAAACCGTTATGCACTAGCTACAACTATTCTATATATATGAATTTTCTCTCTAGAAATCTTTTAGGGGTTTTTGCGCAAACAATAGAAAGAGGGAGGGTGACATTTTCTTGTTCTTTTGAGCGAGAGGCACTATTTTCTTCTTTTCTATTACTCTTACCGCCTCTCTCCCTCTATTTATAGATGGCAAGTTGCTTATGTGGACTTTGTTTAACTTTATTCTTGTAAATCCTTAGCCTTATCCAATAGTGCTCAAGTTTATCCTTCTACCAAAATACCATGTAGGCTTTTAAATTACACCTATTGACTCAAACTTCTTTGACCCAATTTATTATCAATTAATTTAGACCATTCAAATAAATTAGATCAAATATTTTAGTAGGCCCCACATTAGAAAAAAATTTAATTACCTTTAAACCTAAATTAGGAAACTAATTTCTTTTCACATAACTATCTTCTAAATTTAAAATTGACTTTTAAATTAAGAAACCGATTTCGAAATAGAAAACTGACTTTTAAAAATAAGAAACTTTCCAAAATAGAACATTTTTCGAAATAGAAAACTTTTTTCAATAACCTTTACTTTTCTTTTATTGTGTGAATGTTTAAATTTTATGCGCGTGACACGATCGGCTTTTAGATATGTTACTAATGTATCAAGAATATAAAAAACATATCTTTTATCTCTTAACATATAAATTAAGTTTAATCTCTAATAAGGCATCATGATTATTCAATTCTTTAGAAGAATTAATTAATCCGTAATTACTTTTTACGAGAATGACTTCTATACAATTTAGTCCTCATATCAATTTATTACATTATGATCTCGAACTTGCTTTATAGTCCGTTTGATTATGATTACACAATATTTCTTCGATCTCCAAACGTGTTAGCTCACAAATAAACCAATTATGCTCAATTGGTATGTTTCCACTATAACCATAGATTCTTTGAGTAGACATTCATCGAAGTGCAATGTGATAACTCCTTTAACGTATAAAGAATGATATATTCTATTTCAATCATCCACCTATCTTCATTAAATTTCTAATGCATCCAACGAATCGTCCACGTGCGACTTTTTACAAAACGAATGTTAAAGTACATCAATATTCTAATGAGACAAGCGTGATGACTTTAAGTCAAAAGACCGATTGTACCTATCTTGTATGATATGTTCATAGACTAAACCAAATGGATTCTCATGGCGAGTCACGTTTAGTAATATATGTTTTCTAATATTATTCATTGAAGTGTTTGCTTTGGCATCACCATGTCGGTAAGTGTGAGATATCCTACTACTATCTAATAAAAAGAGCGTAACGCTAATAAGTTTTATCGCTTGTTGTCAATGATCAATTTTGACAATGCTACGACTTGAGATATTAAATGATATAATTTAAATGCATTAATATTTGTCTCACATCAATTGATTTATTATTAATATAATACATATCATATATACTTTTATCGATTCTATCAAATTATAAATAATAAAAATTAATAGAAAAACTTATTTTATTAATATAAAAATATAATGATACGATAAATCAAACCATCTAAATAGGTTGAATCCTGGACACTTATACTAATACTAACTCTATCAGCAAGAATAAGCACTGCTCTGATGTAAGCTTTGTTTGACCCGCCAGTCTCATTGTTTAAGTTCTTAGGTATAATAATTCTTCGTCTTTTTGGTAATATAATGGTTCTTTGTTATAGGTATTAAAGCTAACAGGCCATCCTGTCTAGGTGCTTTGGTGTTGAACTTATGGAAACTTGTGTTCTATAAAAGTTGGTTTTGAAGCGATGAGATTGGACCTGCTATTGAGTTTACTTGCAGGATTCAAAATAGTGGACTTGGGCACTATGAACAAGCATGTTGTTAAGATGTTAATATTGTTTGACCTCTCTAAAAGTTCAAGTTTTTGGGATTGTCCCATAAGTACAACGTGGTTGAAAGAGAGGACAAGCCCATGTAATTAACTAGTTAATTTGGTGATGCTGTTGCACCTAAGCTTTCCAAGTTCTTGTTTTGGAGGATAGGAAACAAGAGTCCATGTGTTCTTCAAGGTTTGGTGAGTTCTATGCATTTTGAAGCTTGACTTCACGAAAGGTGATGGTCATTGGCCCTGGAACTTTTAAGGATGAAAAGATACTAGAGAAGCTTTCATGAAAGGAATGAAGGTATGGAAGGAAAGTCTACTTCCATATTAGGTTTTCAAATCTCAGGAGGTAGTAGAAGAGTAGAGGCAGAGCGGAGTATATTCAAGTAGTCATTTCAAATCTTAAGAGCTAGAGGACTGGAGGACAATTAATAGTATTTGTCTGGGAATCAGGTTTACTTCTTCACCTTTGCTTTGAAAAGGATGTCCTCTAGCAGTTGAGAGGTTCAGGTATACATACAAACATGACTTTTGCTACTACAGGATCGAAACCTCTTAAGCTTGTACAAGTGGGGTGCCTTTCATTATGTGAAGTTTTGGTGCTGTTCCTTTAGTACCTTTTCTGCTAATGGTTTAAGCCTGTGATGTGTTTGGGATAGGAGTTCTTTGTTCAGGTAAGGAATGTTTCTTATGCTGCAACTCTCTGCATTATTGCTTGCTAAGGCCTCTGTTGTCTTCACTTCTACGTTTGCTGCTACTGTTTTGGGGTTGTACTGTTCCTCTTTTCTCCTAGATGGATTTCCCCTCCTTTAAAGCTTTTAAATACTATTGATGTTCTGGCTTATCAAGAAAGACAAATGAAAATATAATATCATTAAAATTCTAGGTCGAAATTTTTTTGAACCTGGAAAAGGCAGTGGCTTAGTTGCAATCAAAAGATCAAGTGAACCAGTTACTAAACAAAGTGAAAATTGTATTTTAAGGTTTCAATCAGTTGGTAGCCTAATAATAACATAATTTGGGTTGATTAGCTAGGTTTGTGTTGACTTAAGTAATATATTTCACAGCCAAAATGTTGGTTCTATATATTTATGATGACTACTTGATTTACTGGAGCATCGTTTTGCTAATGCTGGACTTAGTCAGTAACAAGTCTTGCTCAATTGTACTTGATGCTCTAATATGATACTAGCTTCGTTTACCATTCATCAGCTATATATCTGGATTCTTGTTGTTTGATACATATGTGGAAGCACGAACTATTGATTGATAGTATTTAGTGGAAACATCTATCTATACATAGTTATAGTATCATTCTAAATTATGTGCAACCAAAATTCTGGCTAGTAAGGCTTCATTTTTTGTTCTTCAAAGACTAAAATTAGATGGATCAAGTTTGAATCAGAGAACCTTAAGAACTAATCATTTGAAAAGATGTGGAGGTCTATACTTGCATACAGTCATTGCATTATATAGAGATCAACAAACTCGTTATTTGTAGAGCCCAGTTCATGTCATGCCATTCCAAGCTCAACTAGCATGAACATTGATGCATGATCTGCAGAAAAGATATATATATAGATGGCATAACAACTGAAGAATTGCGTAATTCAATCAAACATCAACCTTTGACCACTGTGTGTATTAATTATAAGAAATGCGGCTTCTGCATGCTTACATTTGTCAGTGGCAAGAATATTTCTATTTTGCCTGCCTGTATGACTCCAATTTTTCAAATCTTTCTACATGTTGCACCATAAGCAAGATCCAGGTACTAAGGTCATAAATTTTTTACTTACAGTAATTAAGCGACATCAAAAGTAATGAGCTTTATTATAAACCTTTTGATATGGCATTCAATTTTCATTTATTCGTAGTTTATCCATTCTACCTCTTTCTATCATACTAGTCATGATACTAATGACTGGAGCCTTGCTAGAAGAAATTACACCTGGCAAGATAAAAATGAATTAAATAGATATATCTCTACCTGGAACCATTGTCAGCCCATATTGTTTCCTGGAAACTTGTAGTGACCGAATTGTAAAATTCGGAAATCAATTCCACTTAGGTTGTTTTTTTTTACCTGCGAACCAATGCTGCTCTCCTGATCCTGAATGCTTTTGTGATACCACTACAAGTGCCTTGTTCATTTCCATAAAGAAAAATGCTGCCTTCTTCATCAAATAGCTAGTGTATATTTTTAAAATAAATAAATAGGTGAAGTTTCGAGTTTAGATGCAATTGGTATTTTGTCAAAATTGTCAGTTAACTAAATTAACTGATAGAATCTTTTAAGTATAAATTGTTAATTACCATTTATTACTCAAGAAATATCAATGTCTAAATGAACAGTCTTATTGTCATTATGTTTAGCCAAGCTATGTAAGTTGCAATGTGTGGGAAATCTCTCTTGCAGATAATTTCACTGGTATTTGTGTATATATGCATGCTTATACAACTTCTCCCTGATTTTTTTCTCTCTGCAGCTGCTATTTGTCAATTACATAACTTTTAAGTGATTTTAAAAGATGGAAGAGAAAATCAATATCTAGGTTGCAAATTTGCTGTAAATACTGTTGTCTCCACGAACATATGTAATTATGCTGATAAAAATCCCTAAAAAATATCATGTATTCTAAAGGCTGGACTTTCATGTAGCCTTGTTTATTTTCTGATTCTGGAGTATGTTGAACTCATTTAGTGCCATTTTTAGACCATCATCTCATAGCTGCAGGAAGTAAACAAAATATAGCCAATATAATGAATGCTGACACAAAATACACATACACATTGCTAATAAAAACGAATGTGAAGACTTACATATATCAACCGAATAGGTATAAATGCTTACAGTCTCTGGAAGAAATTATAAAATTATTCATTCTCCTTTCACCTTTTGGAACAGGATCTACTAGACATGAGTTCAACTCCTAGCAAACTTTTTTGTGGGTTCAACAAACACAAGATTTTAGGCACTTCAATATAAGCAGTCATAGTCTCTGGCAAAACTGGGATCGGAGGAGAATTGGTTTCCATTGTCATTTGTTGTGGTGGTCATGAGAATTGAAATGGGGTTTTGTTCATTGGGATTTGGCATGTTCATGAAAACTGAATTAGGGCTTTCTTCAATATGGGCGTTTGATGTGGTTATGAGCATTGCACTTTTTTGTTCTAGGGCATGTGGGGTGGTCATGAACATTGCATTAGGGTTCTGTGATTGGACATTACCTGTTGTTAACTTCATGTTCGGCTGTGCACTATATTTATACTGGACTCGACCATTTGTCACGTCCCAATTCACAGGAAACTCTGAAAACTCATCCTTCAAATTAGCCCCACTTGGAACCGCAACACTCTCAGAGAAATCGAAAATCAAAGATGATCTTGGTGAATTTGTGATCCCAAAAAATTTGTCAATGATGCTGACAGAATCCACTTGATGCGGTGGCAAGAGATGATGATTGCTGGATTCTTCTTCCTCGCCGACAATCTTCACAGAAGAATTAATTTCTTGGCTGCCAGAAGCCAAATTTTCACCATGTTCAAGTGGGCTATAACACCCAAAATTTTCCAAATTGTTAGGGTTTGCTTGAGAAGACTGGCTTGACTTGTCTATGCCTTTGCTCTTCAATTTCTCTCTAGTTCGATCCCTTGCCCTCGCTCTTGCCTTCTCCCTAGACTCTCTATCAACAGGATTAAAGGCTGGTTTATGTGCTTTTTTACTCCTTTTCTCTTTAGGTTTGATCGCTAATGAGTCACTCTTTGCCTCCATCAATCTCATGTCTCCATTAGTATCAGGTGCCAGCTTGATTCCTGACACAACTTCACTCTCAGAAGTGGAAGAAACGCTCTTGCCACCAGCACTAGTACTACTGCTTTTTCTCACTCTTGAAACACTATCTGTGACCTCCTTGATTGCGGCCTTCGATTTTGTAAATAGCCACTCGATAGTTTTGCTTGCTTTATCGAATCCGAGCATGTCTTGGAGATCGAAGAACTTTCTGGCAATTTGAAGGGATAACCTCATCCTACGGTCTCTCGGCCCTTGAGCAGTATGGATCTTGCTGTGCCTGTCCTTCTTCCCTGTTCGCCTTTGACGAATTGGCTGCTTTGGAGTATTAATATTACCTTTCTTGTTTTTATTGCTGATCTTTCTTGTTTCCTCGTTTGGTGGTGCAGGGTTAGTCTCCTGAGTCTCAACTGCCAAAGCATGAGTATTAGACCCCAAAACTTCCTGCTGGTAATGTTGCGATAAGAGCTCACGTACCAGGATATCATCATCATCAAAAAAGGGATCAGGGAATTGCTGCAAGAACGAAGTTGGAGAATAGTCTTCCATTGAGCTAGGGTTTTCTGTGTCAGTGAAAGTGCTTGCTATCATGGTATGGTTGGCGTATTGAAAAGGATTGAAACTGCTACTCGAAGAAAACATAACTGAAGCACCGTTGCTTTTGAAAGAGCCAGTTATTTTTGGAGTATTTTAAGTGTTTCTAAAATTGGAGAAGAAATATTAGCCCCAGGAACCTCTGTTAATTTGGTGACACAAAAGCTTTATCTTCATTTCTTTCAGAAAGAATGAACAGTAATAGTAGTGATTGTTTCTGCAGGCATACGAAAAATGATGCAGAAAAGAGGAGCTAGCTCAGATAGTGATTAAAGGAACGAAATCGAAGGGCCAGCCACATTCATTGGTAACAATTCACATGGGTACAGGTGGTTGCCTGGTAGGAACCGTTCGAGTTCTTTCTTTTCAGAGAGGGAGAGAGAGAGAGATTGACAAGGAAAGAGGCTCTTTGAGGAGCACACGAGAGTAGTAGAGTAGAGTAGAGTAGACATGGCCACCTCTAGGAAACCTAGCTAGGAGAAGAGAGCGAAGAAGGACAGGTAATAATTATATCTGTGGAGCAGCAGATGAGAGGCATGTAAAATTGGGCCAAACTTGCTTTTACCGCTATGGATGGGCAAAGTTTCTTTTGACTGGGAGACCAAATGTCACTTTCAGTTCTCTGACTGCCTTGGATTATTGAATATGGTTTTCTTTCTTTCTTTTTTAGTCCAAAAACAAAATATGGACTTTTTGTGATTTTTTTTTTTTTTTTTTGAGCTTTTATCCCAAATCTTCATTTTTTCCAAATGCTATCACACAATTATCTTGAACTTCAATTGCCAAGGTGCCTTCTGCCTGTCAAAGACTTTCAAGTCACCATAATTGGTTTAATTTTTTTCTTTTTAGAAAGATAGATTTTCAATGATATGAAAAAAAAAAATTTACATCATGAATAATCTAGAAAATTTTTCTTTTATGAAACTAAAATAGAAAGGTTTTAATATCATTTATGGGTATCTAAAATCATAGCATAGAAAGAAGATTTTTATAAAGAAATTAAAAAAAAAATTAACGTCATATTGAAAAACTATACTACATGCGTAAGGAATGGTTGGAACTGAGTCCTCACGTTGGAGTCTTCTACTGGTTATATAATGTAAAGTGAGATGCATAGGACATCTTCTTCCTCAATCACTCGCCGTCTTTGTTTTTATAAGTGGAAGTCGATCATAGGTTAGTTGAAGCCATTCCAAGGAACATGATCAAAATAAGCCAAGTACACGTAACCAAAAGAGGGAAAAAACACCAAGTTGATTATTAGCACTTATATTTTATCTTCCAAAAAAAAAAAAAAGAAGACTGTACAAACATCTGCATCTAGCATGGTCAATTATTCCATTCTCAAAAAAACAAAGCTACGGACAATTTTTCATACATAGGCTTTATTTTAGGGTTTCGTACGTACACATAGTCATCGTTTCGAATGACAGGATCAAATTAATTAAAATGCTGTAGATTGAAGAAAGTACCTTTCAAAAAATGCAGTACCTTTTGAAAATTAATTTATTAGGATCAATAGACACTAAAGTACTCTCACTCTCATGTTAACCCGAACATAAAAATTGTTTACAAAAAGGTAAACATGAATGACTTGAGATAAAACGGAAAATGATGTTTCCACTTGCTAGAGAAAATTAAGAGAGAGAGAGGAGAACTAATTTCTCTTCGGTTAATTTTTTTCATTACCATCATTATCTCACATCTCTATTTATAATTTCCTTTTTCTGTCGTACCCTCCACGGCCGGGCCCAGGTATGATGCTAATAGTAAGACTCAATTATGAGAGATGGAGACAGCTAGCTAGATATATATAACCCACTTATTTTTATGGATGAAGTTTTCTTATGGATCGCTTGGTACATGTCTAGGCCATTTATTTTTATGGATGATGATGAGTTCCAAAAAAAAACTCGTTCAATAAATAAAAACAGTGTTGATGTTGATACTAGTTTTGCGAGAATAGTTTAAAGTGGAAATACTATCTTTATGGATAAGTTTTATAATGTTTAAGAAGTAATTAGTATAAGTTACTCTATAAAGATAAATAGACATAAACATGAGAGAAAATTAAAAAAAGAAATTTGAGTCACGTGAAAATCTTCTTATCACTTTTGATAGATTCGGATATAATTCTCTTCCCGAAATATGATTCTTTTCTTAAAAAATGGATTCATTAAGTAACTATTATACATGTCCACTAATTACTCATTAAGTATTATAAAATTTCTCAAAATATAGAAGCACAAAACCACCTCAAGCTGAAACCAATAACTATCAATACAATAACAATCAAAACTCAAACACCTACGAATCGATAAGGATAAGTTTTTGTTAAGTGTATATATCGGGATAAGAGTTAAGATGCGTTTGATAACCTATTTGAATAGGTTAAAAAATTAAGTTATAGTACTTAATATAAAAAGTTTGTTTGATAATCTAAAAAATCTCATATTTAAAATATAAATTGAGTCAAAATCCACTTAATTATGTAAGTTAAAGTTTTTAAAACTTTTTAAATATGACTATATAACCCTCATATATTCTTACAACCTTAGCTATACAAACTAATTGAGAAACGATCTATACTCGTCCCTATTATCGAAATAGAGAAGACCTTCTCCATCATTGCCATGGCTATGAAGACCAAACTATATCACCATCTCCAATCAACCGCAACAAAAAAACCCACACTGGAACTCCTTTTGAAGAGAACTAGCAAACAAATCCCTTTTCACTAATGTGCTATGTCTACCTTCGGATGCTTCTCTCTAACACCTTTCCAAACGCCTTCACTTTCCCATTCACCCTTAAATCATATGTTGTGGTTTCTCTCCCTACCATAGGGAAATAACTCCATTGTCACATCATTAAAACTAGGTGCTTATTAGAACCCTTTGTATAAATCTCTTTGATTTCTATGTACTCGTAAGTGCGACTTGATAGATAATGCATGCAAGGTGTTTGATGGAAATCCTCAATCGAGAAAACTAATTGTTTGTTACAATGCTTTGTTAACTAGGTATGCGCTGAATTCTAGAGATGTCGCTTTCACCATTTCAAAAATGGATTCTGTTCTTACAAGAGTACTAGTAATGTTCACTTACTTTTTATATATGTAGAGCCAAGTCAAACTCAAAGCAAAAACAAAGAGAGTTTTTCCGGGAATACTTTACAAAAACCTAACTATAATTCTTCCTTATAAACCAAGAGAGTGCAATTAAAAAGGCTAAGGTTGGTTTGATTTTGAAACGGTGGATGCTCATTGCTCAATATAAGATGGCAATGTCTAGTTGCTTGTACTATTTGCTCAAACATCTAGGTAGATCAACCGTAAGCTTTATGTTGTAAATTCTCATACCTCTTTAACAACTATCAAAGAGGGGAGGAGAGGAGTTGTGTGAAAATAGTAAGATGCCTTTATGATTATGCTCAAGCTCGCCTTTAATCGGGCTACAAATTTCTTATATCTCAACTACCTATGGAAAGGTCACTAATCATACATTGAAAAAGAATTGAAATTTTGCTTTCCGATTATGTAATATGCCACAATATGCATGCAATTCCACGTCAAAAGAAAAGAGGAGGGAGAGGCATAGAACAAAAATACACAGTAAAATTAAATTTTTATTTATTTATTTACACACACAAGCATATCTAAGTATATATTTTTTTTCTCGTTAAAAAAAATATCATGTTATAGTTGCAAATTTAAAATTATCATGTATATAGTCTTAATATGTTCAACAATAAAACTTATCAAATAACTTTATTATATTCGAGTGTTTAATTTTTAGTAAATATCAAACAGACTTATCGGTAACATATTTAGTATTTAAAATTCAATACTTAACGATTCACTAGCTAATTTTAATTTTTTCAAACATCACCTTAGTCTCTATAACCGAGTTAGTCTCTTTAACTATAACTATAACTTTTCGGTAATTTATTATAACCGTAACTTTATCAAATAACTATTTCTTGATTTTATTTTTTCTATTTAGGTGCCAAATCTTTTTTTTTCTATTTCAATGCCTAACTTCGATTTTTTTTTCTATTTAAGTGCCCACGTCCACCTTAGATCATGAGATGCCGACATGTTTGGAGTTAAGCGCCACGTGTCATGTTTTTATTACCACGTGGTAGATCTCACTAGACATATCAATAAAATTGAGGCCCATATGAAATTGGGAATCAAAACGAATAAAAATTCAAAACTTGGATAGCAAATCATTAGAAATCAACAATTGCATACCGAAAAAAATAAAAAAAATAAAAAAATTGGACACTAGAAAAACCTTTCTCTCAAAAACTAAATCCCGATCAAGAAAGCTACCCTAAGCAACGAACACCAAGAACAATAACGGAAAGGACTTCAAGAGGTTCAAGTCGGACTTGGTAAGCAATATCATTATTAACTCCCATGAAGAGAATGCTCAATAGTGCATTACATTTTCTCTTATGTGAAGACAATGAATGTCTCCAATAAGATTAAAATATGGATGAGACTAGACTTTCTACTTGCATTATACCGCAAGTCGAATAAAATATATAAATTTATTTTTAAAAAATGATTTCATTGAATGCTCAATAGTGCTCGCCTTTTTCTCTTATGTGAAGACAATGAATATCTCTAATAAGATTAAAATATGGATGAGATTAGATTTTTTACCCACGCTACAAGTCGGATAAAATAATATAAAATTGCTTTTAAAAAATTATTTCATTTTGATGTCCCATGTTATATTGCACATCTACAAAAATACATCAAAATGAATAAAAATTCATTCAATTTTATAATTTTTTAATCAAAATTTTATATTTGACTGATTATTATTTATATTTTTCATAATTTTTTAGCAAAAAAATTATTTGATAGTATAAAGAATGTCAAAACTAATAGATTCTTAGCTAAAAACTTATTTTGTAATTTTTTAAAATATTTTTTTCTTTAAAAATTTTTATTAAAAAAATTAGAGAGAAAAAAAAGACCAAAG